ATAATTTTTTTAGTTTATAAATTGTTGTCTCAGTTTGTAAATTTGAGAAAAAAACATAAATTCAAAAAATGAGTTTACGTAGGTTTTTAAACAGAAATCTAAAAATTTTACTAACAAAATTTTTTTTCAATTAATTTTTTTTTTCAATTAATTTTTTTTCCAATGAATTTTTTTTTCAACTAATATTAACTGAGGGGGCAATTGTAATGCTACTTTAAACCTTAGGAAGGGGATTGTAATTTCTAAAATGTGAGGGGTGATAATATAATTTACCCAGTGAGAACAAAATTGGTATTTAAAAAAAAATTAAATTGCTAAGGGGGAGAATCTGTAATGAGACTTTAAACTTAAGGGAAGAAGATGTAATTTCCAAAAGGTGAGGAAAGAAACTGTTATAAACATAAATCTCAAGGGGTGTCAAAATAATTTACCCTAAATTTTAATATATATATATATATATATTTATAATTTACATACAAAAATTTAATTATTTATATAAAAATATTTTATTAATTTCTTCACGACCCGTGCATAGGATGAGTTTTTACTAGTACTATAATTAGGGAATGTTGAAATTAGTGTTCATGTCTGAATTTTTGATTTTTTTTGGAAATACTCCAATTGTAATTACATGGACAGTGATGCCTTAAATATCAAATCAAATTATATGTATATATATTTATCAAATCAAATACTAGTTACATAGTAGTTATGAATTCACTTTGTTTTCTTTCTTTCTTTTTCTTGAATTCTCTCAACTATTGGCCTTTTCATATCCATAAAATGTCTTAATTTCAAATTTTGAATTCAATCATATATTTTACAATTTTATTTTTCTAAAAGAAAATGATCATATGCACATATATAGTGTATACCCACCACTTCTAATCTTTTAAATATAATGAGTTCTATATATACACAAAATATTTATTATGACAAAAAATTATTTATAGAAAGTAAAATAAAAGAGAAAAAATAATTGTTTGGATCAGTAGTCTCATTTTAATGTATATTATCCATTAAAAAAAATTAAGTCAATCCGATGATTATAATACTTTCTTTTTATTAACATTTGTCTCTGAAAAATAGACAACAAATATGGGTGTGTTTGGTTTATTTTTAAAAGAGTGAGTTTCAAAAAAAATTTGGGAGAGAGAGTTTAGAATTTTTTTTTTTAATTTGTTTAGTTGTATATTTGGAAAGTAGTTTTGGAGCTTGGGAGTTTGGAATGATTTGATATTTTCTTGTAATTGAGTAGATGTGTGTGAGAGAAAAAATAATTGAAAATGAGAGAGGAGAGAGAAAAAGTGATTGATTGATGTGTAAGAAAGAGAAAGTGATTTTGAAATTATTTTAAGAAAAATCACAAACCAAATAAAATTTGAATTTTTTTTTTTCAAAAACAACTCTCCAAAAGCAAATCAAAAATGTTTTTGAAAATAAATCATTTATTTTTTTAAAAATAAATACGATAAAATAAAAATATTACGATTATCAAATCAACTTAATTTTTTTCGTAAATGATTACAAAATAAATGATTTTAAATTATTGAAATGAAACGTATGCTGAATTTCACAAACAAAATTCTCTTAAATTTAAATTTGAGGGAGGTGTTGAACTCAAAAAATACGGTACACATGAAAAAGTCATTCTTTTATATTTAAATTTATTTATTTTAAGATTCTCCTAGACGTTTTAGAAGATGCCAAACACATTCCCAACCTAAAAAAATAAAATAAAATTCTTCCTTTTTGGACTTTCCCAACCAAAAACCACAGGACTTTACTATTTGCAATGAAAAAAACCACAATTCTTGGAGAGAGAAAGTAAAGCAAGTAAAATTGCCAGCACTAGGATGAGTAGATGATAGGGACATGCAACTTCTGGTGACATCAAAACTTGCTTCCTATTACCTTCTCTTTCCCAAGATTGAAATAAAGAGACTGTTTTAGCCTTCGTTTGGCAATAATATTTTTAGTTAATTTTTTAATTTTTTAATTTTTTTAGTCTGAAATTTTTTTGTTCGTTTGGTATTCTTGATTAACTTTTTAGCTTTAGAATGGTAGATTTTTTTTGTCCTTTTGTAAATTTTGACTTTTTGTGATTTTTTGACTTTTTTTTTGTTCTTTTAGGATTTTTTAGCCCAACACAAAAACCAAACAACTCCTAAGACTTGGTTAAAAATTAATTTTTTGATTTTTTGATTTTTTTTAAAAAATGTATAAAAAGTAGAAAAGATAATATGATCTAAAATAGGTTAAAAGTTGACTTTTGACATTTTATGTTCTTCCCAAAAGAGGCCTCAATACAACAATAAAAAAATATGGGAGCAGCTTGTCTCCAGTCTTTAATCGGATTGGATGGTGTTGTTTGACGTGTGAGGGCTCATCACGAGTTCTATTTTGATAATTTGAACCGTTCAATGTGTAAAACTCGTCGAATGTTATATGCTTGTAAAAAATCACGTTGATCAGATATCGATAGCTATCTCATCTTATCAGTTTTTTGTCAACCGTTAATTTGTTCACCGTCTATTTTTTTTTTATATACAAAACTGATTTGATCACTTAGTTATCGATATCCGATTAACGTGATTGTTTACAAGTATATAGTATTCGACGATTTCTACATATTAACGGTTCGGATTATGGTGGGCCCTCATGGGCTGAATAGCACCGTCCAGTCCGATAAAGGACTGGAGGCAAGCTGCTTCCAAAAAATATATATTTATATTTTTATGATTGTATAAATTTTTTGTATGTATAGTGCAAGTATTTTATGTATTTTGTGCAAATCCTTCGTATGTGTCAGAGTTATAGCATGAAAGATTTCATTCATAGTGTAATAATTTTTTCATTGTACTACTGATTTACAATTTTCCTTTATGCTTTGTTTGGTCTTGACTAGAAAGTCAATTTATTAGATTAAAAAAATCTATTTATTAAATATAAAAAAACTATTAATTTATTTTTTGTTAAAAAATTTATTTTAGACATTCTAAACATTATTTAAAAAATTAAAAAGTTAAATATATGACAAACACTTAGTTTGATGCTATATTATATCTTTTCTGAAGACTATTTTTCTAAACTAGTTTTTTTACTAACTGCCAAATAAAACCTTAGTTTGATCCTATATAAAAGAGAGAATTCTCTCCATAGGTCATGTGGGGCTCACATCAATTTCATGTCAATTTTATTTTAACTATTTGAATGGTTAATTTTGTTAAATTTAATTGAAATGGTGTGAAAAGTGTTGTTGAGGCTTGTAATCATTCATTTTATATGTTCTTATGTATATATTATTTATAAAAAAATTAAATTAAATTTATTTGACAGTCATACAAAAATTAATTTCATTACAAATAAATCATAGGCGACAATATAATTTTAAAAGTAAATTATTTTTTTTAAAGGCAATAAAATTATATAACTATAATTATTGAATCAATTTAATGTTTAAACTATAAATAATCTACACACAAAAAGTCTAACAAAATAAACGATTCAACTTATCAAAAAAATTATGAAGGCCTTCCGGCCCAACCACACCCCTCCAATTCACTGTGCAATCTGGAGAGATTTCTCCCTCATATATTAGGGGTGTTTGGTAGAGCTTTTTTAAGCCAACTTATGGCTTTTGGTTTTTAAAAAGTTATTTTGGACTGTTTGGTTAAACTTATTTCAAACAACTTCTGATTCTAACAACTTATTTTAAGTCAAAAAAGTTGATTCTGAGAAGCTGCTCACCCCTTGCTTCTGATTATCAGCTTCTGCTGTGGACATGTTAATTCACGGTTATACTCTTAGATTTTTTTATTTTTTATTTTTTTAAAAATAGAAAAAGACCCAAATGGACTATAAAATATTATTATTATTTTTTATGAAAAATGTAGACAAATAGTGAATAATAAAAAATAAAAATTAATTGAAAAGGTTACTTCACAGCTTATTTAACAAACACTACTCACCAACTTAAATCTATAATCCAACAGTTATACCAAACAGATTAACAGTTTATGATTAAAGTCATAATCTGTAATCTGTTAAGTTATAATCTATAATCTGTTTTAACAGTTACACCAAACAGCACCATTGAGCTTATTCATTGCAACTTATTTATAAATTAAAAATTGATAATCGAAAAATAGATATTAAAAGTATCATTCTCTCAACTTTTAGGGTATTGTTTGGCATCCAATAAAAAAGTCATTATTTTTTTTCCTGAATTTTGTCTTTAATGACTTTTTTTTTCCTTCCAAATTTGTGTCAATTTTTTTCCCCAGCCTGTCTATTGTAAAAGAATTTTAAAAGTAAAAATCAACAAAAGTTTCCCCCCCCCCCCCAAAAAAAAAAAAAAAAAAACTATTGATTGATAAGAACAAAATGGTCCAACAAGTCAACTACTTCTCTTTTCTTTTCTTTTCTTTTGTCTTTAGTTAATTTTTTTTTTCAATTTTATACAAAATTTCTAGTTCATCTAGTTTAAAAGATTCTAAAAGTTAAAAATATTCTTACAAATAAGAAATAAAAATTCACTAAGACAAAAAAATAAAAAACAAAAAAATGTTAAAAAAAACCAATCTTAAGTCATGGTTAGACAGTTAAATTTTTTTCAACTTATTTAAGTTATTTATGTTTAATAAATTATAAACATAAATTATATTAAATAATAATCCCATTTAATAGAACTTATAAACTTACAGTGCCAATGTGGTACCCAAAAAAAAAAAAAAAAAAAAAATTATAAACCATCCGCATAAACTGGATCAAATTGCTCCATTGAAATTTTTTCATATATTTTTTTATCCATTTCTAACAATATCCATGAAATAACTAGTCAAGTTAAACAATTTTCAAATTCATTTTTCTTATTCACCAAATGATCTAAAAATAAAAAAATAAAAAATTGATAAAGAATCCACCCGCCACGAGTCCTCTAATGTGTGGCCGCACACAATCGTCCTATAAGTTAGTACACGGTTGCCCAATTTACTGTTTCTTCCGCTCTTCCCTTTTCTAAAAACAGTTTCTTTGCTTTCAAAGACTCCCCAAAAAAAAAAAAATTTAAAAAAATAAAAATTACTACTATATTAAAACCTCTTTCCAAGTCTTCCTTTCATTCTTTTTTTCTTAGAGGAGGACTAAAATGGGTAGCTCAGGAGAAGAAGAAGAAGAACAGCTAATTCAGATGGTTAGAGACTTCATTGAATTAGGAGGAGGCTCAACCAAACCCACTTCACCTTCTTCTTCACAATCCCCAAAATTTCATCATAAATCCACATTTTCCACCTTACAGGTTTCTCATAGCTTCAAATTTTACAATTTTCTTCATTTTGTTTTCTGGGTTTGACTTTATTAACATGTGTATGTGTATTGGTTTTGCAGGATATTCTTACGAGGGTCACAGACGCTGAGACTGAGATCCTTGAAAAAATCTTAATTTACCTGAAAGATATGGAAGTTGTAGAGCAAACCCACAATTTGAAGAAGTTGATTGTGAAGAGATTAAGAAGAGATGGTTTTGAAGCCTCTATATGTAGAACTTCCTGGGTTGCTACCTTTGGTCGTCCTTCAGGTCTGTCTCTCTATTATTATGCACATTAATTTAAAATAATCATGACAGTTACTTAAGTTTAAAACGTTATTTATGCTCTTATTTTTTTTAGTGGAATGGTATTATTTGATCATGATGAGCTATTTCAGCTATACAAAAGATCCAAAAATTTGTGTGTTTTAAAAAATAGATATATCTACATGTTTATCTTATCTGCTAATGTTTAATGAACAATTATGAAGTAATTTTCAATAAATGAGAAACTGTAAAATAAATTAGATGTAAATTTTTTCGTTACATTATTGATTGGAATTATTAGGCAGACAATGCAACGTGGTACTTAATTAAGAGTACTAAATAATAAATTATTTTATGTGTAGAGAAAATTATTAAGTAATTTTAGACTATTATTATTTATGTGATGCTCCCAATAAATAAATAATGGCGAAATATAGTAGATAAATCATTTCTTATCTCTTAAATATTTAACAAAGGTGAATTAATATTGTTCCACCTATAAATTATTTGCTACAAATTGTAAGCATACATAGACAAAATCCCATAATACTTTGAAATTACTGAAGTTAAGCTTGCTTCTTTATTTTTATTTTTTTCTTTATTTTTTTTCTCTCTCTGTAGTAAATATTGAGTATTCAGATCAGTTTATAAGCATCTCGAGTAAGATTTCTTTTTTAACCCATTTCTGATATCTCAGTGTTTGTTGTGTTTGAAGTCTTTGAATTTACAGGTGACTATGAATACATAGATGTTATGATGAAGGACAACAATGGTGGCACTGGTACTATTGAGAGAGTAAGGTTGATAGTGGATATGGATTTCAGGTCTCAGTTTGAGCTGGCAAGGCCTACATCAACCTACTCAGAGCTCTCTACTTCTCTGCCTTCCATTTTTGTTGGGTCTGAAGAGAAACTCATGAAAATCATCCCTCTGCTCTGCTCAGCTGCTGAGCAATCTCTACGAGAGAGTCGTCTTCATATTCCTCCATGGAGGAAGGCAAGTTACATGCAGTCCAAGTGGCTCTCTGAGAACTGCCAAAAAATCTCATTATTTCCCGAGTAATACTACACTTATCACATTTTTATACTATATTTACCATCTCATTTATCAGTACTATATTGGAGATAAACATAAGTAATGGGACTCATTACACCAATGATGTGCTTACATATGAGATGGCACATTGAATGTAGTATAAAAAGATAGTAAGTATAGTATCAAGTGTGTTTAGTTTGAGTTTTTTTGATTAAGTTTTTTGAAAATTGAGTTTTTTGGTTTTCGTATTTTTTTGTTTTTACTGAATTTTTTTAATATTTTAAGCAATTTTTTATATTTTTTTAGATGTACCTTCCTTAAATGTATCTAAAACGTAAAAAATTTGTGAAAAAATATTTTAAAAAATTAATAAATACATAAAAATACAAAATATGTACGGAATTCTGATATTTTTTTTTGTATTTTTGGTATTTATTGAATTTTTAAAAGATTTCTTTCACAAATTTTTCACTTTTTAGGTATATTTACGTTAGGTATGTCTAAAAAGTAAAAAAATCGCTTAAAATATTTAAAAAATTTAATAAAAATAAAAAACACGAAAAACAAGAGAATAGAATCTTCTGAAAAGAGATTTTGAAAAACTCTAACCGAGCATCATGATTGTTATTATTTCCCAACACATGAGTGGACATGGCCAAGGATGCTCTTGCCTCAACTTTCTTCATCGCAATATGTTGTTAGCTTTAGGGTTATGTGAAAATTTCAAGACACTACAAAAGCTCGAAGCATATTTAAAGTGCATTGAGACGAGAAGATTTAAGAAAGTCCGGTGCTGTTAGGATGCCTAAATGTGAACTTAGACACAGAAATCTCAATACATGATTTTGTGACTGAAGATGTATGGAGACTGAAGAATATGAGGAGTGTCATACCATTGGAATGCCTAATTATGACCTCAGACAGAGAGAAATCTCAGATACGTGATTTTACGATTACAAGTGTATTGAGACAGAAAGATTTAAAGAGTCTCAAGCCGTTAGGATGCCTATATATGTTCTCAGACACAGAACTGTCGATGCATGATTTTATAAGTGCATTGAGACTGAAGGATTTGAGGAGTCTGGTGCGGTTGAGATGCCCAAATGTGAACCCAAAAAGTGGTAATATAAGTGGTTCCTCCAAATTTTAGCAAATGGCGCCAACAGTTTTGTGAAGACTTGGAAATTTCAATTCAAGTTTTGGGTTTTTTTGTCTAGACAATTTTCTAGAATGGGTACTGCTGCTGTCAAATTTTTGTTGCTCTGAAGATAAGTCTGGGTTGCGGAGATCTGCCTCAAGTTTTTTATCTTTTAATTACCGAAAAAATATTTTAGAAAGCAAGTTTTGATCTTTTTCCAGTATGTACTTTGGCTGTTTGGCAACACAATTAGGTTATTAGTAATGATATACAAGAACTTTTGTATATAATTTTTTTTACAGAATAATATGATTTCATATTATTCTTTTATTTCAAATTAAGACACCAACTACAAGGCTCATAATTTTAATGCTATTATTATCACATCATCTTGAATGATATATATATATATATATACTAGCTCAAAAAGGCCCATGCAAGGCACTGATTATTATTACAGTATGTTTAAATTTTGTATTTTCATAATTTTTAAAAAATTAGAATATTGTTTTATAAAATTGAATAGAATAAATTATTAGATATATGATAGAATTATGTGTTATGATATGTATCATTTTGGATTTGTTATACACCTAATCTATTACTATATCATTTTTGGTGAATTTATAAGTCTTTAACATTTCTTTTGAATCTTAAAAAAAAAATTATGGTGTGTAGTTTTTCTCAACAGATAAATAAACAAAATACTAAGATAATTTCTCCATCTAAAAAAATACTAAGATGATTTACTGAACTAATAAAGAAATAGAAGAAAATACATATATATACAAATGACCAATTTTATTAATATATAAATCATACTCGCATAACAAATGACAAATTTTATTAATAAGTAAATCATTAAGTAAATTAATAATTTTTAATAATATGGAAAATGTTTTTCAGTTAATCATTTTGTTAATAAATAAAGTATTAAGTCAATTAACAATTTTTAATGATATGATAAATATTTTTTAATAAACAATTTTGATAATTTATTAATTTTGATAATTTATTATTACATAGGAGAATAGTTTTTTTTTTTCATGATTATTGTATTAAATTAAAATTTATAACAGATGATAGTTATAATTTCTAGTTTCATAGGACTGATTCATATTTTAAACAAACTTTACGGGTATATTTGAAATTTGTTAAAAATAAAAGATTTATATTTCATAATTGACCAAGAATGTTTGCATAATTATGAAAAAAAGCTTCACTCCACATATAGACCACCATTAAGGGAAAAATAGGAAGAAGAAAAAAAAAAGGACCAGCCATAAGCAGAATAGAGCTTCTTAAATATATACTAGTTTTATAGTGTATTTAAGTTTTATATTTTGATAATTTTTTAAAAATTAAAATATTGTTTTATGAAATTGAATAGAATAATAAATCATTAGATATATAATAGAATTATGTGGTATGGTATGTATCATTTTTTGATTTGTTATATAACTAATGATATAGACTATAATTTTATTATCATATCATTTTGGGTGAATTTATGAGTTTTTAACATTTCTTCTAAATTTATAAAAAAAAAAAGAAAAGAAATTATGGTGTGTAATTTTTCTCAGTAGATAAATCTAAAACAAATACTAAGATAATTCTTTCATAAAAAAAATACTAATTGGGTGAATTTATGAGTTTTTAACATTTCTTCTAAATTTATAAAAAAAAAAGAAAAGAAATTATGGTGTGTAATTTTTCTCAGTAGATAAATCTAAAACAAATACTAAGATAATTCTTTTATAAAAAAAAATACTAAGATAATTCACTAAAATAATAAATAAGCAAATGACCAATTTTATTAATAAATAATCATTAAGTAAATTAACAATTTGTAATGATATGAAAAATATTTTTCAGCTAACCATTTTGTTAATAAATAAATCATTAAATCAATTAATAATTTTTAATGACATAAGAAATAATTTTCAGTAAACAATTTTGATAATTTATTAATGCATAGGAGTGTTGTTGGTTTTTTTTTTTTTTTTTTTGAGTAATGTATTAAATGAAAAATTTATAACAAACGATAGTTGTAATTTTAGTATTATAGGACCGATTCATATTTTAATCGAATCTTATCAGTGTATTTGTAATTTGTTATAAAATAAAATATTTATGTTTCACAATTGACCAAGAATATTTACATAATTACGAAAAGACATGTTTCATAATTGACCAAGAATGTTCGTGTAATTATAAAAAAACCTGTTGCATAATTGACTTAGAATTTTGCGTAATTACGAAAAAACCTTCACTCAACGTATGAGTCACAATTAATAAATTATTGAAAATAAAAGAACAAAATTAAAAAGAGAAGATGAATCTCAAACAATTTAGTGGTTCTTATATGTATATGTATATATACATATGGATATATATTATATAATTTTTGTTTTGCATATCATTTATATTCCTTGAAGATGAGAAGCCAACGTTTGAAAAAGTCAGAAAGCGTAGCTGTCTTATGGAATCATTGGAAAGACTTAATAGCATTTGGTAGAGTTCGGAGAATAGAATTATATTTTAAATTTATAAGTTTTAAAATTATGATTTAAAAAAAAAATTATTTAATTATGAATTTTAAAAAGAGTTGAATTAAGTGTTGAATTTTTTAAATGAGTTTCATAATAAGAAAATTTATTTGATTATGAATTTTAAAAATGATTTTCAAAACTTAATTAAAAAACTTATAACTTATAACCAAACACATAACTCAAAATTCTATTGAAAATTCTATTCAAAACTCATAATCAATCTTTTTTTAAAATTCAATTCTAAAAAAAAACTATTAAAACAATTTATTTAATTTTTTTTTCACATAACAGTTGCAAAAAAAAAAAAATCACTATTCCGGTCTACTGGCTAGACGTTTGGAAGGATGACCGGGTACACCAAAAAATTCAAAAACTGTACGGGAGGATGTCCGGGCGGACGACTGAGTAGATCAAATTTTGAGAATTATATCCAAACACAACACTCAAATTTGAGTGTGAAATTATGATTACAACTCTACACCAAACACAGCCTTACTATAATTGTAATCTTGATATACATTATTATTTTGAATTTGAGAACAAGAAGTGATTTATCACAATATTAGAGATTTGATTACAATAAGTTTTGCATTCATTTTTTATTTATCAGCGAAAGTCAGTTGTTAATTGTTAAATTAATACTAATGAGAGTTAGCCTTTCCATCTTTGTGAAGTAGTGTTTGTCTCATAATGGGAAATGATAGAGAGCTCTAAATATAGAGCTCTAATTTGAGCTCTAATGATGTGTCAAAGCAAAAAAAAAACAAAAAAAAATAAAAACAAGGCACAAACATCACATCAGGGTGGGACCCACCTTCCCATTAGAGCTATTAGAGCTCCTATATTAGAGCTCTAAAACATTTTTGTGAGACTATACCCTTAGAAAAGTCATGGTTGCTAACTCAATTAGGCCGAGATAGTTAAGTCTTGCATTCAATTGTTATCATGGTACCTAATTCCATCCGTTTAGAAATCCCAATGTGATAGTTATAAGCAAGCTTTAGAAACAGTGAAATTGCCCAATTTTATCTTTCATAGAACAAAGATAGTGATCGAAGTAGGAAAAAAAATTGTGACTCATAATATTTTACATCTACGCATCCTACAATCCCGAATCAACAGAGAAACAAAATAAGATCATTTCATTCTATTTTAAGTTAAACAATGAAAGATATTGGGTGTTCAGGTCGATTAGAAGGTATATAAACAATTACAACTGAAACTGGAACTGCAACAAATTCAAACTAAACTCGATAACAAGAAGGGAACATCTCTTCCTAATCAGGATCGGTGTCAAGCACTTTGTTAGGAAATTGTCTCTTCGTAATTAGGATAGATGAGGCACAAAATAGCAAACAATAAAGATAAAATGAATCAAAGAAATCACACACGCACAGACAAAGATTTATGAGGTTTACTTCACAATAAAGTTACGCCCACAACTGCTATGATTTTTGTTATGATCAGAAACAATACAACTCTTTACAATACAAGAGGAGGCCTTTCATCTATTTATAAACATAGAATTAGAGCAATGCAAAAGTAACAGGAAGTTACTAAAGTTTCCCAAAAATTCAGATACTTATCAAGGCCTTGTTGAACCCCCTTCCCTTGAGAGAGG